AAGAGAAAAGAGAAAAGAGAAAAGAGAAGAGAACGAAAACGAAAGGTGATAAAGTAAGAGGAAGGCTGACAGTTGTTCAAGAAAACATAACAGAGGTTTAAAAGGAAGTTCAAATCAATCTAACAAAAAAGAAATCAATTTCTAAAAACACCTCATAACCAAATAATTCACGTCATCAAATTACCTTGGTTTAACGTCTACGTCCAAAAGGGAACGGRGGAGCTTCTCCTTTCTGACCATATTCTTTCAGCCGATCTTCTTGGTAATCGTCGTTTGCTGCGTCCCACATTCGACGTCTTTCGTTAACTCTATCCCGTAAACTAGCCCCGAAACTATTACTCTCTTTCCTCTTCAATAGAAAATCATCACTAGAAAAGCCAGGCGAAAAAGCCAAAATAGATAGCAAAAGGCCTAGAAATACGATARATTTAGAATCCATTCTGATATGCGGCAACGTCTAAACACAGGTCCGAAATGTGTCGAAGAGTTTGCTACTAGCGCTTAAATAGAACTYGAGTGATATTTATGATAATGTGTTTGATATTAACCGGATAATTAGGTGAGATTTTATTGTCATTATCATGATATGAGGGAAGTTTATGGATGTTTAATGTCCGATTAGCAGGGTATGTTTCTAATTACATGGTAATTGCATCAGGATCTCAGCGGGTTGTTTGACATAATTAACTGGTTCCGATAAATGTTGGWCATTGTTAGAATCAAATATATTAAATAAGAATACTATAACAACGAATTATTTGCTCTTTCCGTCTCTCCTTTCGTTTCTTTTCTTTTCCTTTCTTTTCCTTTCAATTCCCTTCTCTTTTCTTTAAATGCTCTCGGTTCTTTTCTAATTTAATCTTTTTAGCCTTCTATAGAGTTTATTTCTCTAGGCGTTCATTTTTCCTTCTCACTTTTGTTCTGATTGAAATTTTTTAGCTTATTCTGCATTTTCTTTCTTTTTACTTTCGTAGATAGTAAATGAATGAGAGAGAACATGGTAGAGCGGACGTTGCAGACACGTCGAAAAATCGAGATAAAATATGTTCAAAATATTGCGCTTATTTTCAGAGTCAAGGGATCAAACTCTTCAAACCCACGTGTTCCTTTCAATTCCTTCTAAGTTGGTCAAAGCTATTTCTTTCTTTCCTTTCTTTTTTCTTTAGACTATTCTTGGCTCTTTTCTTATTTCTTGTTTAGTCTTCTTAATAGAGTTTATTTTTCTTCATGTTCATTTTTCCTTCTCTCTCTTGATTTGTTTCCCATTCTTTCAGCCTATTCTACATTTTCTTTCTTTTTAATTTCAATTCCGTACTGTAGAGGTGATCAAATTCATATTTGGTTATATTTCCAAAGATTAAGACTGTACATGAGTCTGTTCTGTTTCTCATTCTTTTATACCGTGCTAAGAAATCAAGAAAGATTTCCAAGCGAAATTCAAAAAAAAAAAAAAAAAAAATTAATTTCTTAAGCCTTCTACTACTACTCACAATAAATAATAATAATTATAATAATTAAATTTAAAATATCAAATTTAAAGTTTGCGAAAACCCCTAACACAAAACTACYTCATGTTTTGACTGCAGATCTTTCATTAGTTCCTGATTACTGAATGTTCTCGTAAAAAAGATAGCAATCAACGCATGCGCTCTAGACGTGTTGCCGCAGGTGATACGACATACTCAATGGACGCGGCAGGATTGACAAATTCTTACAAAGGGCAACTCAAAAAAACTTTGAACAACAGTGGAGCGAGTGATCGACTTATTTTGCCTCGGGGAAGTCAATTTTACGTTAAAAATGCCACTAGTTTTTAATGATTGGCTACTTGTTCACCGACTGAAAAAGTCGTCGATAAATTTGACGTACAGCAGAAATAAGTCTTTATCCCCGATAGAAAATATTCAAAAACGGGCGGAGGATTTTAGAGCGTCTACACGAACACATGCTACGAATACACTCCCGCATTCACTGTTCTACTTCCCTAGTTACTGTTGCTACGTCGCACAAGCTAAGCTGTGTTTTTGATATACAGCATGGAACAGACATTTTAAATGTGTGTCTTAGAATTAATGCACTCTAGAGGTACATTAAGAAACAAATCAATAAAAACTAAAATTTTTATGAATTCGAGTTYGTTGGTCGGACATTCTGGATTCCATTGGGAAAACTACCCATTGCTTGGGTGGAAACTCAACCGGATCGCTCTTTTCAATATAAGAAATCTAGATATGATAAGTATCAGTATTAATTTGTCAGTTTTATAAGCGGAAACACATTATCGCYTCTCAAGACTTCCGCGTTTTTTCGTGAAGAACGAGCTCATTTCTTTCCCCGCATAGTCAGCGAATAACTCACAATCATTAGATCAGTAAAGACTAAAAAAAAGCGTGTTAAGCATGTTGATATCCCACTGGCTTGRTTCGGTAGAGAGATATATTCCATGGGAAATKAAGACTGATAAAGTACAAGTTAGTRCCGGTGAACTAGTTTTCCGTCGACCAGAACGCGTGTGGGAAGTTTTGACCAAACTAAACGTGGTTTTTTCATTCTTCATTTCTTCATTTCTCTACTGTATCTATACGATGCTTTGAAAACGCTCTTTATAATATATTGAATTCTAATTCTAATCAAGAGAATATGAAGTAAGCTTACTTAATATTTCACGGATCAAAAGCTCGTATATGGGCGGAATAAAACAAAYGATTTATAAAATTAATTAACTTCGTAACCAAAAGATATTTTGAAAATTCATAACTTTTATCCAGTCGGCCATTCTGCTTGAAAAGACTAGACTAATCATCGCGTACTGGAGGAAAGCAATTCAAGTTCACGTGTTGCATTTGATATTAAAATTAAGATCTATAATTTCTGTGGCTTTTTGACGTGGTGTTTTGCCTCACTTCATCTGCAACGGATCAGAAAAACGAACGCTAACTCCCAGAATATATCAAGAGATGATTTTCGACTGGTTCTGCGAGGAATGCATTTCAGTGTCACGGCACTATACGTTTCTAATTCATACGACTTGTCCTTGGCTGGTCAGTTTGTGTGAGTCTGCTTGTATGTTTTATAATAGCGTTGGGTGAGATGAGAAAACAAATAAGCGACGTTAAGACTGAATACCTCTACTTTATGTGGGTCATTGATTTATAAGTTGACATGTAACGCAGTGATCGGTCAAATGGTCTGCGAAGGGAGAAAGGCATATATATATATATTTGAATGCTCGACGCATTATACTTTAGGAAATAATATATAGTAGTGGAGGGAAATCAGACGAAAGAATGAAAGAATGGATCAAACAATCAAAAGAGAAGAAAAGGAAAGAAAAAGGAAGAAAAAGGAAAGGAATGGAAAGGAAAGGAGTGGAAAGGAGTGGAAGGGAAGGGAAAGGAATGGAATGGAGTGGAG